GAGCCGCCACTGGCTGCAACACCGCCCTCCACCGACACGCACAGCCCCAGCGCCGTCTGCACCAACAGCCTGTCCACGTACAGCGCACCGCGCGACGACAGCGCCACGCCGCCAACAACCAACACGCCAACAGCGTCGCCGAACACAGCCGCCACCTGCGTGCGCGCAATGGTCAGCACACTCCCCGTCAAACTCACGTTGTGCAACACGAGGCACGCGGAGGCGTCGCCAAGGCCGTAGGCGTCGCGGTACGCAACACGCGCCTCTGCAATCAGCACCGAGTCCACCACAGTGACGCGCGAACCCGGCGGAAATCGGCTCGCCACCACCACGCCGCCGCCGGAGCGCGACTCAAGCCCGCTGAACAACACATCGGCGCGCTCGCCAGCAGGCGGGTCGGAACGCCACCCAACAACGTACAGGCTCGCTCCACTCACAAACGTGCAGTTCGCCAGTGTCACGTTGCGCACGCCCCCTGACATCGACTCCACGTCCACCACGACGTCCGCCGCAAAGGTCACGCCAACGTAGCACACCACCGACGTCCCGAAACTGACGTTCACCTCCACACCCACACGCACGTCCCGCACGCACAAGTCGGTGCCGTCGGTGCTCGGCGGCTCGGGGACAGCAACGGGCAGGCACGCATCGCCATGGCCGCCCTCCGCGCATGCGCAGGCGCAGCCATCACTCGAGGCCTTCGTCGTGTACGCGGGGAAGCACGACGTCGCGAGGATGCATGGATCACTGCAGGTCAGGAAGGTGGCATCGTACACAGACGGAATAACGTAGTTCGCTTCCTCACCGCCGTTCACAGTGTTGCACGCAGCCAAAATAGCTCCGTTTGTGAGGTCACTGGACACCGTGGGTATCCGCAAAACGGTCGGCAAGACCGTGCTGGATAAAAATTGGTTGCCGGACACTGACACCGTGGAGCCGCGGAGATTCACCTTGGAGGAAAAGAAAGCAAACTCATTCGATGGGAACACGCGGCAAAGGTTGCCGCTCAACTGCAGCCAGGAGTTGTAGTAGATGTTGGAGGAGTCACTTGAATAAAACACAGCCAAGCTTCCCTGCATGTCGTTGCCTTGAAACACAACCGCTGACCAGGACTCCACACGTAATGACAAAATAAAATACATGAAGTACCGCACCGGCCTCGACACAAGATTGCCTCGGATCACCACGGCGGAGTTGTTCAGTACGCTCAGCGATGAGGAGTGTCTAGACCCTTCAAAATATATCAAATTACTGTCTCCGCCATCCATATGAAACGTGTTGCCCACCACCGCAAACACGGAGTGCCACGACACCCTCAGAGAAGATTCAACGACGCGGATGGCGCTTGACGATGCCCTCACGCTCTGAAACACATTGCCACTGAGCACCACCGCGGAGTCGTTGCTGATCACCAGTCTATTCATCGCAACACACGACGGATCCCTAAGGCCCAAACCCAACCGAGGGATCAGCCTCGTGACCGTAAAGCGGTTCCCGCTGATCGTGATGTTCGTGTGCGGTGGAAACACACCCTCCGGGCTGAGCAGCGCGTCACAGAACTTGCTGCCGGTGACGAGGATGTTCAGCGACCTAACAGCGGCGTCTGCGTTGCCCAACAGCACTAGCACGGCGCCGTCCCTCCACGTGCATCCATCGAACGTGACATTCGCCACGTCGCCCGCCATCGCCCCAACCAGCACCGTCAGGCTCATGCCGCCCCCACTGAACGTCACGTTGCGGTAGCACAGCCACGACAGCCCGCCGCCCACTGCCTGCACCACCTCGGGGTACACCATGTCGCTGATGCACTCACCAACCGGCGGCGGTGGCGGCGTGGGCGGCACTGGCGGCGTGGGCGGTGGCGGCGGGCCAGCAGGCACAGGCGCCGGGACGCACGCATCGCCGTGCCCTCCAGCAGCGCACTGGCACTTGCAGTCAATAACCTCCGTCGTCAGCGGGGCAAAGCAGTCGCCCTCCTTAGTGCACTCCCCGCACCCTGCAACCGTCGTCACGTTGGTGATGCCGCTCAGTTCCAGCTCTGCCGCCGTCGTCAGCAAGCGTCCCGCGACCGTCAGACACCCAGCAACAAACCGGTAGCCGGCGTCAACCCGCTTCAGCAAGGATACCGACAACCCCGTCGAGCCCATCGTGCAGCCCGTCAGCGTCACGCCACTGCTGCTGTCCATGTCCACAAAAGGGGATCCACTGTCGTAGAAAATCGCACCCAAACCCACGTCGTTGTCGCGCCAATCCAACCAGCTTGACCGCTCAACGGTCCACAAATTGTTGGCGTAAATAGCGTATGACACGGAACCCCTGTTCCCCACCACGCGCAACACGCTGTGATCCGACACGCTGAATCCGTGTTGCTGAAGCAGGAGGCCTGCCCCGGAGGACATCGTATTGTTGAGCAGCGCAAAAACAGAGTGATTGCGGACAATGAGGATATTCACGTAGAACAGGTGTTTGTACCCAGCGAAGCTGCAGTAACGCGCGTACAGCGAGCTGCCACGCTCCAGCGTCAGCGTCCCAACCGAGTGCAAACCAAACCCGCCGTACCTCAAGGAATGCGCCTTGATGTTGCTGACCAACAACGAGGACGCAGCCAACACAACGTTCCTCAGAAACAATACGCTCAAGATGTTGATCCTAATGTCAAAAAGCTGGACTGCGGAAGACTGCACCGCGTCAACCTCCGTGACGGCAATGTCGCAGTGCTGCGGGAGGGCGAGTGCAAACACAACAACAGAGGACCGCATAACCGTCTGGCTCACGCGGACCAGGACGCCGGATGACTCGACCGCCTCAGCACCACCAAAAAACTGCAGCGTGGCTCCGCCACGGAATGTGCACCCAGTGAGCGTGATGTTGATGGGGAGATGCAGCGGCATACTGTTGAAAAAAAACTTCAGCGCAGCACCCACGCCGCTGAATGTCACACCGACGTAGCAGTGGTGCGTCTTCCACATGTTCAGCGTGAGGTCCGTCAGCGTCTGGTCCACCACGCAGCTCGTGTCGCCGTCGACAGCTCTCTCCGGCAAGGGCGGCACAACCGTGTCGGGCACCTCAAGGGGAAGACACGACGCGCCATGCCATCCGTCCCTGCAGCTGCACGAGCACGAGTTGCGGTCCACCGACTCCGTCCCGGGCATGTAGCACGCCGCGTCGTCGTTGCACGTGCCGCACCTGAACACCACCACGCCCTCCGGAAACACACCGTCGTACAACACCTCCCTCCCTTCCTCGTGCAGGTTGCACCCCACCACAAACCGCGCGGGCGACGCCACAATCGTGTTCGGTGGAAGAAGTTTGGCAAAGGCTGCACTTCCTTCCACCTGACGGTTGTGTGCAAGCACCACAGTGGTGCCGCTGCCCGACAGCTTAATTTTCTGCTGAGAACGTGGCATACTTAATACTGAGGCCGCACTCACGTTGTTACCCTCCACACGCCACTGCGCACCGCCCTGAAGTGTCACAGTGCCGTCCAAAAACACCAGCGCAGAATCAGAAAACTCCGCGCTGCCAACAAAGTTGCAATCCGCCACTCTCAACAGCCCCGCGGTGCTCACGACGGTATCCTCAAATAAATAAACGCCATTAACCGCTCTCATCGTGTTGTTCTCCACGTCAATGTGGCCGCCGTTCCTCACGACAGCGAAAACGCAAACGGATGATTCCACACCGTTATCCTCCTCTGTTGCCCTCAACGTATTTCCTTTCACAATGATCCCGCCACCATCAACAACACCAATGGAAAAATAGACTGCGTAACTACTTCCCTCAATGCGGTTGTCAAGCAGCAGCAGCGTCGAGTTCGCTCCAAGAGTAAACCCCGAAATAGCAATGGCATGGACCAACGTCGTCACAAGCGTACTGCCCGCCACCAGTATCTGGGAGCTCGCGCCAAAATCACCCTTAAACTCCAGCTCACCAGAATCCAGCATCGAGGATGTCACGTTCACGCGCACTCGCGCACCACTCCCCTTGATCGACAGGCCCACGAGGACGCACTGCAGCAGCGTGATGTTCAGTGTTTGTTGTGGCGCGTCAAAATGCAACAGGTCCAGCACGATCGCGGCAGTGAAGATCACGTTAACAAAACACAGACCACGCACACCGGGATCAGGATCGTCCACGGAGCTGATGCTGCCACCGTGCACGCAGCGGACCTCCGTGTCCCTCGCATCGGGGAGCGGGAGCGGCCCAAGGCCGTCCGGAACCGCAGCTGGCAGACAAGTGTCACCGTGGCCGCCAGCAGCGCACACACATTCACAGCCGCTGACGCTGCTCGTCCTCGCTGCAAAGCACACGGCGTCCACGGTGCACGCACCACAGTCCAGCACCGTCACGGGTGCTCCAATGTTGAGCTCTTCTTGGTAATCCGTCACAGGAGAGCCCATTGCCTCGTTGCACACGCCGTAGATGATCGGGTGCGTGTCGGATGATGGTGACCAGTTGCTTGTCATGCGTGCGATGGTCGACGAGTACGAGTCGTACGTGAAGTTGTTGTCAAGTATCGACCACACACTCCGATCGCGGAACGCCAAGCCGTTCTCCTTGAGCACGTACACAACGTAGGCGGCGCGGAACTCGTTGTTGCGGTGCACCAGCCAGCTGCCGTCAGTCACGGTCAGCGTGTTTGCAATGAGCATGGCAAAGCCAAGACGGAAAGTGCTGGACACAATCTGCAGCACGCTGCCACCAGTCACCACAACATCCCTGAACATACACGCACTTTCGTAGAATTTACTACTCGGCGCACTCCACGAGCTGTTCTGTATGGAGAACACGGAGCCGCCGACAACACGCAGGTCCGACGCAATGGAGTAAATCACGTGCGCCCGCGACTTGACAGCACAGTTGTCCATGTAGAAGACGCTGGACAATTTCACGTCAAGGCCGCGCTCCACGAGGATCGCAGCGCACGAGCCCCCGCCACACACCAGCGTCGACCGCGTCATGACAAACCGCGTCGACAGTAGCCGGACGCCGTCCAGGACAAGCGCGGGGCCACACCGAAATCCCGCAAGGCCACGGGCTGTTGGCACGTACTGCGACCCGCCAACCGTCGCACGCAGCGTTGAGTTCGCCAGCAGCACACTCGAGTTCGGCGGCATCGCGCCATGCAGCACGATCGTGCCCTCCACCGACGTCACATTCGTCATGTTGACGAGGGCGTGGGGCATCAGGCGTGACGTGCTCTCGCTGAGGCCACCAATCCGCAGCTGCGCGCCGTCCGCAAGCACGCAGTGGCGCAGCGTCACGTTCAGCGCGTCAGCGAACGCGTCCATCGAGCGCAGGTCCAACACCACAGTGATCGGCCCGCTGAACACCACCGAGTCGAAGCACGCCGTCGCCCGCCCGCCGCCAACCGTCACCGACTCCGTCAGCGTCACGCCACTCACGCAGCCCTGCGCACCCCCGCCGGCCCTCGCAACCGGCACGTCGAACGGCAGGCACGCCTCGCCCACACCGCCGGCACGGCAGCTGCACACGCAGTCAGAGAACGACGCCGTCAGCGCATCGAAGCACGCCAGCGCAGCCGCACAGCCGTCGCACGGCACCACGCTCACGGAGGGCAGGCCGGCCATGCGGTAGTCGCCGCTGCTCCGCAGCACACGGCCGCCGGCACGGTTGCACTGCACCGACACGACGCCGCTCGTGATCGTCAGCCCGGAGACAAGCGTCGCGCCGGTGGCAGCGCAGCGCGCAATCGACACGGCACAGCCGCTCAGCGTCACACCCGACAGCGACGCCACAGACGACGCCTCGCCCACCGCCCACACGTCGTGCAGCTCCAGCCACCCGCCACCACCGATCGTCCCACCGTCGCAGCGCACCAGCGACGACGCAACAGACCCCTCGACGCCCACGAAGCGCAGCACCGAGTCGGACACCGCGAGGCGCTCTCCAAGCACAATGCCGCCGCCGCTGCTCACAACAGACACACTTGTCACGGAGAACACCGAGTGGCTCCGCAGACTGAGGCGCGACGGGGACGCCACACGCATCGCGGACGCGGTCGGACCGCCCGACGCCTCCAGCGACACGCCGTCAAGCACCACAGCGCTCGACAGCAGGTCCACGCCGCCGCCAACGTGCACCGCAGACCCGCCCGCCTGCAACGACCTCAGCACAGTGTTGCTCACACGCAGCTGCGACTCCAACAGCGACGTCGCGTGCAGCACAAGCGGCGACGCCACCGCATCCGTCAGCCCGCTCAGCTGGGAGTAGCGCATCGGTCCAGGCGTCACAATCGTCGAGTCACGGACCGTCACGTTCGTGTGTGCCGGCAGGTTGTGCACAAACACAAGCGAGCAGTAGCTCCCCGACAGCCCGCTCACGCTCACCTCCAGGCTCCGGTCACTCGCCGGCTCGCCGCTGTAGCCCCGCACGTAGATCTGCGCACCGCCGTCGCACACGCAGTTCCTCAAGTCGATGCGCAGCGCGCCGGGAAGCATCGCCGCAACGTCAAACACCACAGCCACGCCGTTCGTGATGTACACGCCGTCCATCAGCACCGTTTCCACGGCGCGGCCAACCGTGATGGCTCTGTCCACCGTGCCGCCCCGCAGTCGCAACACCACCGCATGCACCGCGGGCATCCACGCCGCAGCAGCAACCAGCGCAAACACAACGAGCAGCGCCGCACGCACAGCCGCAATGGCCCTGCACCGCACACGGTGCCGGCTGCGCGGAAACGCACCCTCCGCAGACCGCATCCTCCGACCCAAACAAGCACCAATAGGGCTGTCGTGGTGTGTTGCACTCGCACCGTCGACCATAATTCCAGCTTTCAAAATCCCTTCCTACAGATCGCGAATCCAGCGACACAATTCCGATAGATCGATATCCCACTACTACTACTAGTCCTAATACAGCAATTAATCCCTAACACCTACAAACGATAGATGTGCCGATCAAGCAAAATTATCTCTAACTGCACAATCAGAGGAGAAGAAAGCAGCGGCAACAGCAAATAAACACAGCGGCACGCAGAGGCATCCGGTCACAGACATTCCCCACCAATGCACAGCCAGCGACACAAAGAAGCGCAGACGCCACCACACCAGTAACACCATCGCCCTCCCACCGCCAACGCAGCCCCACACAGCCACCATTCAGAGTGGCGTCATCCCAGCAAAAGGACACATGACTATTAGCACCGCTCTTGCAACCAAAAGGCTCCACCACAGTGCAGTCCCGATGCCGTGAAAAACACACAAGAGCCGAGACAGACCCACGTGGCAGCGTTACGACCGGCGGCCATCAAGCGCGCCAAAGGAAGAAATGGTAACACGGAAGAGAGGTGGAGGATTCGCCGTTCGCCAGCAGTCAAGGCGTCTTTCCTCCCTCGCGTGGGTCGGCATTGCACAAGAAACAGCAAAATCATACGCGCACGGCACACACAAGGACGAAATAATGAAGAAGCACGGCGACAGTACGCAGACACGGGGAAGAAGGGTCCACATCGATTGCACAGTTCGACTGGCTCGCAGCCGTCCGGATGGTGGTCGCGCCGCTGCCGCGCGGTACATGTGGCCTGTGGCTGCTGTGGACTGAGAGGATGATGAGAGGGAAGAGAGATGCGGCGCGGTCCTCATCCATCTCGGTTGGTGGTGACACCAGTCACGCCATCCCCTCAGATCGCCTGCAGCAAAGACCGTCACCGTCAGCAGCGGTCGGTGCCTTCCTTCTTCACCGACGCCGTCGCGCGCCTCCCCAAAAAACACAACGAGGGAGCAGCATCCACACGCAACCGCCAGCACAGAGTGCAAGAGGAGCAACCAACTGCACTGCAATAAATATATCGTGTAACTGTCTCGTGTGTGTGTCTACGACCACAAAAAAAAAGGCAAAGCATATGAGGGCACACACAACCACAGAAAAGTGCCAGACAAAAAAACAAACAGGATGACTGCTGGAACGCAACACTGCACGGCTGCCCACGCTGTGAAAAGCCGCGGCACACATGCTGAAAAGTTTTTTTTTAAAGATAAATCCGTCTTCCATTATGCATTCACTCAAAAACAAAACGAAAAAAACAAGAAAAAACCGCACGCTGCTACGTGGCCTCCAAATCGGTGTGTGTGTTTCGCCTGCAGATAAGAAATAAACAAATATGTTGCACTCCTTCCAGTCGTTCAAACACCCGGTGCCCAGACATTATTTATTTTCCACTGGGACACTCGGCGTGGTTTCGTGTCCCCATTCCATTGTCCCTTTTATTAGCCGGCGCCATCGGCGTGGCACACAATGCCGGGAGCGTTTCTGATCAGTAATAAAGAAAAAAACTCAGTAGATCCCGTAATTGTCGGAGGACCACAACACGGGAAAAAACAAGAAAAAAAAACAGCGGTGCTGGTGCTGGGGAGAGCATGCTTCCACATGAAGAAAGAGCTCAGCGCAAAAAGGGTCTAAAGTAAAACAAAATGGTTAAAACAAAGTCTTCACAAAAAGTGGCAACTAATTTAAAAGAGCGCGTGGAAAGACGCATATGCTCCCGCTGGAAGCGGGAAGTCCTCACTGCAATTTCTCAGCAAGGGGCCGCAAAGCCGCACAGCCCCCAGCAGCAGCAACTGCGACACTTCCCCACGCATGGAACCGTCACCTTTTCCCTTTTTTGGCGTCGCTTTTCCTAACCATTTTTATTTCATCGTCACTCAGTGGGCGGTCGTACAGAAAGACGCTCGTCACTGTCACACCGCTGCTGTTGATGTCTCCCTCGTCGCCCTCAGTAGAATTGTGTGATTTCATGCCCCTGCGTCTAAGGTGTGGGTATCGTCGCAGAGCTCCCCACAACCTCACCATCCACGTACATGCAGCCCTTGCCGTCCTGCAGCATGAGCGCCACCTGGTATTCTCTCCCCAGCTCCCACGTGGTGTTCGATGTCGTTTTCTTCCCGTCGAACACTGGCTCCCACGCTTTATTCATGCCGTACGACAAGTCCAATGAAGTTCGTGCCGGCACCGTCCCCCAGACCCGCACCCAGCAGAGAAGTGCTCCCACTCGCTAACTGGCGGATGATCACCGTCGCCACAAGAGTGAAATCGTGGTTTGCAAAGCCGTACTGATCATTATCCTCCCGGCCGTTCACAGGCCATGTTGCCCCAGACCCAGGCCCCGTGAATTTGAACCCATTTTTGACCTTCGCTGCTTTCTTCGCAGTTACATTCACGCAGCGCTAATCGTCGATCAATTTGTGTTCACTGGCTGCGTTGGACAGGAATCCAACCAGACCAGCCGTGGGTGTGGACGACTCGGCAAAGGAGGCGTCAATCTGTGCCCAAGTGCTGAGGACGGAGTTAATCTTCTTCAGTTCCTCAGTCAGGCGGGCAAGCGGAATGGCACTGCCTTTTTCATTAACACCCTTCTGTAAAAGGTGCAACGCACTATCCGAGTACAGCAGGGCATTGGCAAGCGTCTCACCCATAGCATTCCCCACAAAAAGCGCTCCAACATGAAAAGTGCGGCTATTGTCCGTGGCCCAAAGGTAGAGCGCAGTGGCGTTTCCCCCGAGGCGTACCCTCTCTGAGTGTAAAGCATGACCTTCCCTCAATGGTCGCGGTGATGAGGGCTTCCACACGCAAGCCTTCGTCCCAACGGAATCCTGATCGTGGCCTGACCCAAATGCCCGGGAGTGTTCTGGCAGCCTCCGTCCACGTTGCCCCCATGTCACGCGACTCGCACACATTCTGGGCATTCACACAATGAACAATCATGAGAATCTGTCCATTCTCCCATTCGGTGATGCGGGATCAAGGCATTACACAAAAAAAATGCCCACTGGGAACACCCAGTTGTTGCCGTTGTCCGTCGAGTAAGTGATCATGGAGAAATGGTGATTTTTCCCATTCGCCACCAGGGGAAACACAAGCGTGTCATTCAACTGGTTGAGGGTGTGGCCACGCAGTCCACGGACGGCGTGCAGAGTACACTGATAAGCTGGGCTGAACCCAAGCTCCTTTCACAACATATCCCCAAACACACTCAAGATCACCTGAGGGAACTTTTTACTGCTGGTGGCTCAGGCGTTTCGATGCTGAATGTCCCAGCCATCTCCTAAATACCATCACTACTGTCATATCTTGTAGTATCGTTTCCCACAAGTAGAAACACCTCACTGTCCCTCACAACTGCTGTGGGCCGGTGCAAAACACACAAACGATTATCGCCATTCCTACTGCCAAGCACGGTGCGTGCCCTCCATTCCTTCTTGGTGATCCCAGCAACAATGGACGGCCACGTCTCCGCAGCCTTGATGTACCCGGCCACAATGTCGGGAAATCGAACCCCAAACAATTTGTTTTCATGGACGTTATATTCGAACACGCCTTCAGCAATGGCAACCATCACCCGCCAGCACGGACGAGAAAGGGTGAGACAAACGCTTCCTTCACTTCAAACAAACCAGTCCCATCTCTTGACACCATCGGCGTCCTCTTTGGCACAAAAATATCGATCTCCTGCGCCAGTTGCACAGCCCCGGACTTACTCTCCACAGCGGCCGCAGCTCCACTGCCACAGCACATCAACAAAACAAGTAGCAGCACCGCGGAATAGAAGTGAAGCCGGGACATGTTGGGCCTCTGCGGCTCACTCTCTCTTCCTTCCCTCCTCCCTCCGCTGGATCCGGTCACGCGGCGACGGTTGTGTGTGCGGAGTGCCTTCACAGCAGCAACACGTGAGAGCATATAAATATGTGTTTGTGTGTGGGCGGTCTGTGTGCTGTTGGCTCTTTCAGAGCCTTCGAACTTCACAGTAGCGATTAGCGCTTGTTTTCCTAGCGTGTTTGTGTTCAGTAAGTGGAGAGTACAGCAGCAACAGTAGTAAGACATCAGACACGTCAGCGGAGAGCAGAGCAGAGCAGCCACGCAGAGAGCGGGACACAAGAAAATCCGGAAGGGACAGCACGGAGAGCCATCGCCCACAGAAAAGAGCAGCAACACAAACACACACACACACCATCGCAGCGCCGCCAGTCCGCGAAAGAAAAGATTCGGCCCTCCACACAACAAACGCACACACCGGCACCGCCTCCAGTTCAATCCCAAGGCCAACGGGATACAGCCACGGCCCCGCAGCCAACAAACACAACGCACACGGAGCAGGCAATCAACCAAAGAGCCACACGCAAAAGCTATTCCGCATCCATCCATGACGTGGCGACAAAATTTCCAGCAATTTCATCCCCAATGGGATTCGGTGCCCGACTCAAAGCGGTCACAGGCGGTGCATCACGCCTGCAGGAAAAGTGACTCGCGGTGCGTGCTCCCTCTCTCCTCCCCTCGCTTCATGCCCACAGAAGGAGGCGGCAGCCGCCAGAACGCACTAAAAAAGTAGCATCCAAATCCACTGCAATGTGTGTTTTGTGTGTCTGTGTGTTTGCCTGCAGCAGCACAAGTCAAAAAAGTAAAAAAGAGGAGCGGAGCATTTAAAGAGACACACAAAAAAACTGTACAGCAAAAGTGCATGGCAAAAATAACAGGACTGCTCAAACTCATAACCGCACTGCGGACCAAGCAGCGGCAATTCATAAAAAATTAAATAAAAATAATTTAAAAAAATCCATCTTCACCCTTCCGCACCTCACACCTTGAAAAAAAAGAAAGAAAAAAAAAAGAAAAAAAAATTGAAAAATGTCGTCCTCTATTACGGCCGCACCCAAATAATAAAGAAAAAGAAAAAGAAAAGCCACAAAAAAAAA